ATTAGACGTAAACAGTATTTTATCAATTTCAAACATTTTGAAATATATTTATAACTTATTTACTAAGAAAATGATTGAAATATCATAAAATATAACTTAGTTTCCATGGCCTTGTGATAGCCATACGGTGGTAATTACCACAATATATAACTAGCATTATAAACTATCACTAACAAATTACAGTACATTTCATTAAGTTTGGATTTAATAATTTGGATAATTTGACCAGATTAATTTAGATGTAAACTCGGGAAGACTAATGAGTCATTGGTAATGACAAACCTAAATACACCAAGCGCATAATAAATATGAAACTCACCGCATATCTTGATTGGCGCCTCCAACTCCAGTAGAATGGGTTGACTCAGAAATACTTCCCTCCCTTTGAGACACAGACTTCGGATTTCCGTTTCGGACAACTGGACAGCCTTTCCAGGTCTCGACCCTTTCACTGCAAATACACACAATTTATATAAAATTAAAATTTATAATAATATTTAATAAAGAGATAAATATACAGTCAATAAGTACGTACAAACATTTCTAAACAAACCTACTATAATTGTATGAATACTTAAAATGAATATAAAAGTTTTTAAACTGTCTAGCTTGCCACGCCCTATGTCATTGTGCTACGTACTTATTGAGTGTCTTAAGCATTAATAAAATGATTTTTAATTTAATGAATAAACAAACCATCGACAAGTTTTTGAATAATTGAATCGAGGTCTAATTTGTCGGAATCGGCCATAACTTAAGATAATTGCTGGTAATTTAATGCTACTTATAAATATGATTGACTAATAATACACTAACTTTTTATGTGACTATAGCCTATGTGTAGAATATGAATGTTGTAATTAATAGCGATGAAAATGTGATTAAATAAAACTGTTAGTAAATGTATTTTATCAATATGTTTGTATGTGGTGTACCGGTATGTATGCGCACACATCTATAAAGACTACTTGCTTTATAAAAGATTTTCATTTACTTAATGAATATGTAACCTGGACAATTATCTCTGACTAATCGTTGTATATGAATCATGATTGCATGAAATCATACCATTTCCACGCAAATGTTAAACCAGTAAATTCTGGTTTTATTGATTGTTAACAGTTGTTAACGTTACCTCAATATTGTACAGTAAAGGTTTAAATATTATAATTGCATTTATACTAGATTACACTACTAATTTGTAAAGAATTATAACTTATACTACTTTTTTCAATTATATTTATTTTAATGCTTAAATAAAAGAAAATAATATTATTTATTTCTATTTTGTACAAATAAGTAGCAACGATATTTTTAAACAGTATTTATTAATATTACTAGTTATAGTAGTAAATATAATATTATGCTGTTTATTATGTATTTTAAATAAAATAATTTCATATGATTTAAAAACTTCACATTAAAATATAGTACATTTAGTACGTTAAGTAAATATTATTTTTAAAAATTATTTAATTATTTAAAGAATTATATAAAATTGAAATTCTATTGAATACAGAATAAAGTCTATTTTGTGCATTTCATTGCGATATTTGAAATACTCTACTGTACCTTAAAATAATTAATTTTATGTTTTATACTACATGTACCAATTAATTTTAATAAATAGAAATTTAATTTAAAAATAAATTTTTAATAATATAATATAATGAAGTCGTTTTCAATTTGTATGTAATATAATATAATTAAATATTTATTAATGATTGAAATCATTGATCGATACGAATTGAAAATTTAAAAATACATAATATTTTAATCTGAAAATTGAGTACTTTAACAATATACTGTAATTACAGTATAAATTTGAGATAATAATAATTTGAGAATAATTAAAGTGGTTGAATATTTATATATTTTATATAAACCTAAATAACAATAATATCACTTTCATAATACTTTCTTAGCTTATCATAGATTTTCTTAATAGTCAAATGCGAATAGACGATAACAATATTAAATGAGAGCATGGACAATCCAATCCACATACCAATAGTACCCCCGATATTATAAATAAGTTCGTTGTAATCCATAGCTAAAT